CTGGGGGGGGGGGCGCAGGGCTGCGGGAGCGGCCCGGGCCCGGCGCGTGGGGTGTCGCGTGACACTGCTTGGGGACGGGATGGGGCGAGGCGAGGCGCGCGGTGGTCGCCGCTGGTCCCGCCGCGCTGCTGCCCAGCAGGGGTCAGGCCCGGCGGCCCGTTCGCCTCTTCTGAGCGCGTAAGCGGTGTCCACCCGCCGTTGCTGGGGGCGGCGCTCCGGCCTTCGGGAGAGCGGCGGATTGTGGGCGCGCTCCGCCCGGGGCCGCGTGGGAGTTGCATATCCGCTGTTACAGGGAGACCCAACTTCCCCCGAGCTCTTGTGGCAGTCGTGCTTATCTCCAAGCTTCCACATCTATGTTCAAGCGAAGCAAGCAGTCGCGTGCTGCCCGTGCCCTGTGTCTCGGCCCTTCTTGGTCCCCCAGGGAGTCTCCTCTCCAGTAGTTAATGCCAAGGATTTAAAATAATACTGGCCACAACTGCCAGCCTTTAACTATCAATATTAACCAAATGATCCTGCGCAGGCTTTCACTCCCATCACATGCCGCTGGAAATGACAGCGCTCGGGCTATATATTAGTTACTGAATTAAAGTGTTAAGGTGACTTTTGTTTAGGCCAGTAGGGCTCAACTTTGTTTGGACTGGAAGCAAGCCTTCGTAACTTCTGTGAAAGGAGTGCCACCCGACTTTAAAAGCTAATGTATATATCCCAGTGCTCACTTCCTCGCAGAGAAACTAAGCAGTGGATGTGGGGGATCATCCAGGCATGCCTGGGTTTATTTACTTGCTCGTGTGCTTATCTCTTCATACCTCACACTAGCCTGGCTATGAATCACTGATACAAGGTGCACTTGATTGACGAAAGCATCTTACAGGCTTTCTTTTTTGCCCAAATGAGTTGGGAGCATCTCTGATTTAAAATGTAATACCTGACTCAAATTGTAATACTGTACCTGTCTTCCAGGTGTGACATCATAAAGTTTTTGAAATACTATTGGATGAAGTGAGGTTTTGGCAGGTAATTATTTGTAATCCTTACAAATATTGGGAAGCATAGGAGATTTTTTGGTACAATATTCTCATGAAATTTGATACCATGAAAGTAGGATACAGTTGTTGAACAATTACGCATCTGGTACAGATGGGGCCTTTTCAATATATTGTAGACTCCTGAAAGTATGCTGTGTCCACCTTTACCTTAAATAGAAATGTTTCCTAGTGCACCTGTCAATCCTGCACCATGCGTGTTTTCACTTGCAGCAAAACAATGTATATATTGCTGTATGTAGTTGTGAGTTACTTCTGTAATAATATTCAGTAGCAGTTGTAGAGACTGAAAGATTCTTTCAGGTGTGTGTGTATTTATATTTATATTTTTAACTTTAGGATACTTTGAAAGCTCAAAATGACTGATGCAGATGATTCCCAGAGTTCAGTTTCTGACTACTTTGAAGATGGCCGGGACCTAGTGTGCACCGAAGAAGAGGATCAGTTGCCCACACATGATGCTGCTGTTGGAAGGAGCGCTCAGTTGGGCAGTGCGCGGGAAGGTGCTACTTCTGAAGATTCTTCATGTGCACTCGGTGCCCGTGGTACATCGGCCACATGTTTTACTCAATCTGCCAAAGCCTCCCTGGAGAGCAGTGATTCAGAAAGGTTTCCTTTTTTTATCTTAACTAACATGCATGGTAAAAGGGCTATTTTAAAATTCTTATGAACATGTAAGAACATCTGATGCAGTCTACTTTACTACGTGGATTAGAAATGTACACTGATTTCTGTTTCAGATGATGTCTTGAGGTTCATACCAGTTCACTTGAGTTATGTGGGGAAAGGGTCAGTTTAGCATTGATTCTGAAGGCTATGAATGTTTTCCAAATGTACAGGAAGATAATGTTTCAAAGGGAGTGCAGTCTAAGCCCATTTAGTGGCTATTGGGGATACTGGACAAATCAACCAAAGTCCTTATTGTATATTTTAAGGTGAAGTTGCCTTTTGGTTAGGCAGTGTTCATGCTTTGAATCTAAAACTTGATTTGGTTCTTTCATTTGACCCATCACTTCTTTTTTCTTTTTAAACAGACTTGTCACTTTCATTTTTTTCTCTTTAGCTAGTAACTCCCTATAGCAAACTGCACACACATACTGAGGGAATTTGTTAGGAGTGCACTGATAAAGATTTTCTTGGCCAATACCGATAGCCAACTATTAACCAACCATATCAGCTGATGCTAATCCGATAACAGATATTTAGTAATAATGTAATGCATTTTAGACTACTGACAAACTTTTTTTGGCGTGCCCTAGCAGCTTTCTGTGTCATGTGCATCAGCATCCTGATGCTTAAAAATGGCAGTGGAGGTGCTTGAATGAAAGCTCATCAAATGAGCTTTAGTTCAAGTGCTACTGCCACCATTTTTAACTGTGGGGGAGACTGTTAAGCAGAGCAGAGTGGGTTGAGGGCAGATGCGTGCTGCCTGCTGTGGTCTTAGGGTGCTCTTGCCTGCTGCCTTTGCCCCAGAAGTCCCCGTGCTCTCTGCATGCCTGGATGGGCCCGGGGTGCGGAGCTGGTGCAGGGCTACCAAGGGAAGGGCAGCAGAGCGGAGAGCCCTGAGCCCACAGTGGGGTGCCCATGTCTGCCCTGTGCACAAACCAGGGGGGGCATAACCCCCAGGGGGTATAAACAGTTGTGGGGAGCAGACCCCCAGCGCTCCCTGGACAAGCCGCCCATGGCTCCATCCTGCTCCCAGCCCCAGGTCTCGTGCACTACCTTGGCTGAGCCCCTGCCCCACTAAAATCCCTCACTGTGGGGGCCTCAGTCTGCACCTCCCCATGCCCCTTCTCTCTCCATGGTGTCTGGTTGCATTCATGTGGGTGCATACATGCACATGGCCGGGAATACATCTGGGCCCCCTGTGTCCTGCTCTCCCCAGCCTCTACCAAGCAGGATCCTTTGCAAGAGGAAACCTGCTGTTTCCCAAAGGAGCTGAGGCATCTAGGGACTCCAGTCCCCTGGGGGAGAGGAATTCAGGTATCCAGGGCCCTGGACAGTGGATATTTTTCTGCCTTTCTCAAGTATGGAGGCTGAATATATACTTATGGGTAATGCTCTGATGTCCAATATATCTGTCTTTCGAATAGAACTCAAATTTTTCCATGAGTAGCAAAGTGGGTACAGGCAACTTGTATGCACTTACCGAATGTAACTAAAGAATAGGTTAACCTATCTGACGCGTTACCTAACACAGAAATGGATGCATTAAAGTACTGAAGTGTGGCATCTAAATATCTGAATGGGATTTTGAAGAGTTTAGCATTCAAAGCAGGTAGTAGAGTGAAGATCCTATTGTTTTATATCAGGGAGAATTCAGAATGCATATTGTTGAGAAATGCACACATACTTTTCTTAAAATAATCAGCTGTTTTATTTACTGTTCACAGTAGTCCTTGTTCTAGTGGCAGCTTATACCAACCTGAGTGTAACACTGCATCAAGGCGAAAAGTAACAACTCGAAGGTCCGCAAGGAACCTATCTCGCTCTCCTGCAAACAGGCAAGACAGTGCCAGACAGGATTCCTTGACAGCCACCCCACACAGTGATCTGGGGTGTGGAAAGGAGTCAAAGTCCTCTGGACTGCCAAAATCTTCACTCGATTTGAAAGCTATTTTTGCCCATCACTTTCGAGGGAAGAAGCTCAAGAGCGAGGCAAACCGAAGATTTAAGGAGAGAAAACAAAGGACAAAGAAGAAGTATGAAAGCACAAGAAGACCTCGGAGGAGACTACTGCAAACCATGTCACGAGAAGAGAGGAAAGAGAGACTTCTAGGCAGAGGATTTCAGTTTCCTTTTGTTGAAAAACACTATGGGAGGAAACACATCCCTTTGAAAATGGTGTTTGAGTATGAGGTGAGTTTTAAAGTGAGCAGCTTCTAGAGGAAAAACATTTTAATCTTTAAGGGTACCCTGTTGCTACAAATAGGGGTCTACTGAAATTGTAATAGCGTGATTTTCATGGAAACTGATTTTGGGCAGACTCTGCAAAAAGGGGCAGGTCTGCACTTTTGGCAGGCTTGCTTCAAAAATAAACTTGCTGGCAAAGAGATGCATGGGAAGCCCTGCAGTCTTGGAGCATGGGAGGGAAGGTGGAGAGGGGGGCATGGTGGGGCTGTCTACAGGGGTGGGGTTATGCAAATAATTGGATGGGGGCAGGTGGTAGTGGGGGATGCAAATTCTGGAATGAGGCAGGGAGGAAAGGTGGGATTGGAGGTGGGGTTATGCAAATGAAGGATTAGGGCTATGGAGGGGAGTTTTATACAAAATCCCAAAGGGGTGGGGTGGGGCTGCCCTGCCCCATGGCTCCATTCCATGCCCTGTCACTTTACATAACCCTGCTTCCCATTCTTCATTTGCATAATCCCCCCATCCAATCCCACCTCCCTGCCTCATGCCATCATTTGCATAACCACACCCATGTTCCAGCCCCCCTCCACTCGGAATTGCTCTGCCTGCCTCCTTTCCTCCCTCACTTTGTGCATAACTGTCCCCTGTAGAGATGGCCCTGCCCCCCCATATGTTCTAAGATTGTGCCTTTCTCCTTGCTGTTAAGTGGTTTTTGTTTTTGTTTTTTTTTTTTTTTGCAGCGAGCCCCACTTGGGGATGGCTGGAGATTGCAGCTTAATTATCCTGATTAAGTCTGGGGCAGCCATTAATCAATGGTTAATAACATGTAGATTAATGGTTTCTTCAGGCTTAATCAGTAATTAAGCCATGGCTTCAGGCTGTGTGAGAATCTGCTGGGGGGGTGGGACTGCTGGGGCCCCTTGACTAATCAGAGACATGAGGGGGCCCCAGTGTGCTCAGTCTGTGAATATGATGGGTGGGTGGCCAGTTGTCTGATCTACCCATGAAATATTTTGGTAGACTCCCTAGTTCAGGGCAGGCAAAATATGGCCTTTGGGGCCTCTAAAATATTTAGAGAATTTAATACAGCAAGGCCTACCCCATCCCCAGCTGGAAGCTTTTTACCTAGAGGCTTGGCTCCTGTGGCTGTTCCCCCACCCTCCCTCCTGAGAGGGGAAACTGAGAAAATGGTGGTGGGGGGGGAATAGCTGGGCTGGCTCCTGCATCATGAGGTTCGTGGCTTCATGGCCAGGACTGCATGGAACAGCAAGTCAGCCAGGAACCACAGGGCCTGTCTGGGCTGACTCTTGCTGCATCCTGCAGTCCTGGTTCCAAGATGGTGACCAGGCAGTGGGAAACCTGTCAAGGGGTGGGGCTACCCTTGCGGCCCTCCACAGCTCACCAAAACTGGTTAAGCAGGCCTCTGGCTGAAATAATTGCCTGACCCTGCCCTAGCTGTGGGGGGTGGCAAGGTATGGTAAATTAACAGAGCTTTTTGGTAGAGTGTTGAAGATGAAATTTATCATTGCATGTGGCCTGCTTACATAATTTCATTTACTAGGTGTTGAAGTGAATTATCTAATGTTGAAAGCCTGCACATTTGTATTGGGATTATGTTAAGGTATTGGGGGGTGGAAATTTAATATTTCTTGATTTGTTACATTATGAAGAAAAATTTCTTTCTTAGCATGCAGCTTTAAAAGGATATTTTCAATACATTGAGATGCTTAAATATGAAGATCATCTTAAAAAGGCTTTAAAGAACCTTAATGCTAGTGAGGATTTCGAAAGCAAATGCGTGGCAATGCGGAGACACAGATATTTAGATGATGAAGGACCCATATCTCCTATTCAGGACACAAAGTAAGTTCACTTCTTAATATTTAGAGATTTAAAAATGCTTTGTTTCCTTAACTAGAATTGAAATATTTTGTATGGCTTATGTCAGTATAGCATCTGAATGCTTTTGGAATTATTAAGGTTACACTTGACCCTACCCTAAGAATGGACTATTGTCTTTCAGTGAAGACAACTTGGATTCTGATGATCAGGAAGAATATGATGCTAAAATAGTGGTGAGTTAAACATTTACTAACAAGTCTGAAAATTTCATTCTCCAATTCTTTTCTAATAAAAAGCTGAACTAAAAGTATCCAAAGACCAGTTTGTTCTGATTTAAGTCATTGTTGGCCCTACTAAATGTCAGCTGTGACACTGCTCCTTGCTTTGAGAATTCAGGGCTCTTTGTTGGGGAGACAGTACATTGGTGTTTATGGTGTTCACATTGGTGTTCATTGGCTCTCCATGGGTCCACAGGGAGCCCTGTGAGCCAGGTAATGTGATGCTGGCAGATGGATCTGGCTCATGGAGGGGTTGAGTGCTCTGGGATAGTAAATTGGAGATCATGGTTGTGATTTGAGAGATCTTGAGCAGCTCCAAATTTATTAGCGAAATCTCACTTCAAGTCTTGTCTTCCATTGACTCTAATTTGAGCACAGATTTTTTTTTTTTTAATTGCTGTAGGATAACAGCTGTTTCATACTAAGCAGCAAGCTTCCAATCAAGGAAAAAAACCCAGACAAACCAAAGTCAGGCATGCAAAACTGACTAGAGGTGGTGATGGAAATGAAGAGGGGGAACATGCTGCTGATGGGACTGGGCCTCCATAGGATACATGCCAGAAATGAAAAAGCTAATATCCTAGAACAGAAATATGATGGCAACTCTTGGATACCCCTCCTCGGCACCAGAGTTTTCATGTAAAAACGCACTCGGCATTTATCCAAAGAAGCATCTTCAATAAATACAAGCGATGAATAGAAGGAATCTTCTTTGTAAGGTTTCATTTTTGTCTTTGGGTGAGTGTTTGATTTGATCGGTGTCTAGAGATATAAAATTAGAAATGTTGCAATAAAAATGTAGTAATAGAGTAACTGCTCTTACCAATCTTTGAGACTTATTTGCTTTTAATACTGTCCTGCACAAAACTCACTATGCTTGGTTCAAAGGTTAACTGCTTTTCTGTCATTGAGACCTAATAATATATTTGAACGTTGTAATGTAAACCGAGTTAGATACATCTTAAGTATTAAAAGCACTGTTCGTTTTTTGTTTTGTCTTTTGATCTGGACAAAAACTGAGAACTAAGTGCTAATAGTAAAATCACTCTTTTGCAACCCACAGTTTATTGTGATATGAGCTGTGTTACTAGTAAGAGGGGACAATTAAATGCGTCTACAGTGATGCTAGAAATACTGAATGAGTTGTATACCTTCACGTTCTTTTTTTGGAAAAAATCTCTAATTACAATTATAGAATTGTAGAATTTGAACGCTGGCCCCAAAATGCTTCATTAGACTATAACACAATTTTTTTTCAGATGGATTCCTAATTCAGGAGTGCTGGTGGGTTTAGCAAATGCTTCAAGAATGGGAATTTCATATCTTAAAATTGTAACAGTGAGTGTTGCAGTGAACAATTGGAACGCATAGAAGACAATAAAATTCAAGTAGTACCCAGAGGCCTTAATTGGACACATGATACTGAGCCATGTACAAACAATTTATTCCCTGCCTCAATCTTACACTTAAATGGAGGCAAAATTGGGTGGTTATACGTATGCTGGGGGCAGGGAGGAACAGGTGGGGGGTGGCAATTTTAATTAGAGTTTTCACGACACACTATGGGCCTTTTAATAAGAGTATTGGGTATCCTACTTTTTTCAAAATGGCAGTGTGGGCACTTCAAAACATATTCAGTATGCTTTAAAGTGCCCTGCCACTTTTGAAATGTGAGATGCTGAATACGAGACGCTGCAGCCAGTGTAGAAGCATCTGATTGCAATAAGTGGAATCAATACAAAGCCACCTGCTTAACTTAGCTGTGTACTCCGAAAAATGTTTTAATTTGCTGTATAATGGAATAGATTAAATGCTTAATGTATCATCTATGACTTTCTTTCCTCCTGATCCTGTTCTAAAAGGCATGAGACAGCAGAATGTTTATCATTAGTTAAGCTTTGTAACTTAACATACCCTTTTGTGACTTGAGCTGGTAGTGTTGGATGATTTGTAATCAGTGTGGTTTGAATTGTATGAAAATTATACACTTTAAGGACCTTGTCTTCCTAATATTATAGGAAATGTGACTTGGTTTTACCCCCTTGACTTATTTGCTAGTTCCATGGAATAGAAGGTTTTTGTTAAATGGGCCCAAGATAACTGTTTCACTTAATTCTAGGTATTCATAAGGAGGAAAATCTCTCTTTCAACTTCCCACTGGATCTAGGAATGGAGTTGTTTCTGGGTAAGTCATGGCAGGTGGAATAGTACCATCTCCCACTTACTAAACATTACAGTTCAATGATGAATTTTGCTGTTCAACTGCTGGGTGATTCAAAATGAACTAAACTTGTAATTCTGAAATGAACTGAGCCAGCATAGCTTTAAAAGTAGCTTCTTATAAAGTAAACTTTTCTCTCGCTAGCGCTGAGAAATGGAACTCTAACTTGATCTAATATTTCCTTACCTGCTTTTTTTTTTTTTTTTTTTTAGTTCAACCATGTTGCTTTTGAAAAGCGAATATGGAAGTTGCTCTTGGTATAAGAGGTACGTTCCTGCTTTCTCTGAATTTGGAATTCTGCATGGTTCTTCAGGAAAATAGATGTTTTGCTGAGTTGCCTGACCTTGGCAGCAATACTTTCTGTATACCTTGGAGGGAGGATTTTGAGTAGTGGAAGCAGACAAGTTTTTACTTTTTTTGCGTCCTTGTGTGACAAATATTTAGCAGAATTAACAGACTGGTTGGAATGAGACGGGGCCATGCTGTGAACTCAAGTGTCTGCAGCCCACTTTTGGGTTTTGTTTGTTGTCATAGCACTAATTCTGAAATAAACCCTTGTTTAGCAACCCACAACTGATTAATAAATGAGTTGTGTTACTTCTAAAAAGGGACAGTCCTTGGGGTTTTTGATAGTAGTACTTGGATGATTTATATTCCATGTTTGCAGTTACTTGAAATTTAACTGATTCTGGCTCAGGTCTTCCTGATGCATCTTCTGAGAAGAGAGACTTTTGCTGAAACCCTGGATGCAGCAAGTCCATTCATTTTTGGACTGAATCTGCTTGTCTATGTTCCTGGACCTCTTCTTTCTCAAAGTCAGTCTGCTTCCTTCAGCAACCTGGATACCGAGAACTTGTTCTGCTTGCTGTTCCAAATGCATTGATGGACAATGTATTCTGAGGCACTAGTGAAAAAGGTGAGCTGCAATGCAAGCTTTAGCACTAGAATATGCTGTATTTTTCTTACAGAAGATAAAATTTAAAACCTTGCACTGCATGGTATCTGCATCCAGCAGTATTCTCCTGATGGACTGTTCAAAAAGCAGTGCTACAGTAATTCAGCATCTGGCATCGTTGGTTTTCATGCTCTTGTGCTTGTTAAACCTGGTATTTCTGTTGATACAAACAGACTTTTAAAGCTTAATTCCTTAGTAGGGAGTTTGTGAAGTGCTGTCAATATTGTATGCTATCAAACTCTGCAACAATATTTTTTTTCCTTTTTGAAAGGTACTTTCCTTTGGCACTTCAAGCAGACTGTAAATGTGACTTAAAATCACTGAGAAGATCTGCATAGGGTATGTACAGAGGAAACCTATGGTTTGGAGTCGGGAGGAAAACTTAAAACGAATTGTTGTCAAGTGGGGAATGGATTAGTAGAGGGCCATGTTTTAAGCCCCATATTTAACTTGAATGCTACTGTTGGTGTAAAGTAGAGGTGAGGTTATAAATGTTTAGATATAGGACCAAACCTGATCTGAGAGGAAAGTATGTTGCATTGATTTGATACCAACTTTTATAGGCATGATGAATAGAACCATGATATCTATCAGTTGATACCAACAAGCTTTTGATATAGCTGTTGCATCTTCATGCAGCTGTTATGGTCCAAGTGTAGTAGAACCATTGCAACTTAAACCGTTTCATTCATGCTTGCAGTTCCAACAGTTCTGTTAACTTGAATTATTACAGGAGTACACAGATGAAGTAGTTGTACTGTAACACTTTAAGTGTCTGAATGACGGCTCACCATCTGCTTTTAAAGGGGTTTGTCTCAGGTCTATGGTATGAAGAGACTTCCACAATGCATGGATAAAAATAAAATGCCTATGCCTCGTTAAAGAATTAAAACAGGCACAACTTCTTAGGTGTCTGAATTAAGCAACGTGGCTAAAGAAATAACAGGTTATGCTTCCATCACTGTAAAATTTAATTACAGTGGTGACAATGAGACCTGTAACAAGCCTGTGCTGAAATTTAATTGGATATTTGTCCAGGTAGGGTAAATTCACAGGAGTGCAAGATGCAACCATTTTATAAAGATTATAATCACATCAATGTATTTTGATGCTTATTTTACTTCCTAGGAAACAAGTAGAAGTAAGCATCACCTGGTAGTTAAGTCATCCTAGTTTTCTGCTTCCTATGGGAAATCTAATTGGGTGCCAATAAATTGTTGAGATAAATGTGCTGCTGCATGTTTTTCTAAATTTTGGGGTAGGCTTATGAAAACCATTAACTTCTTATTGGAAATTGGACTTGGCATACTTTTATTATCCTGTGTGAGTAGAGTCTCAAATGAAGCTTTCATTTTGGGGCATGTCTTGGGTTTAAAAACTTTTTTTGTTAGCAAGGGCATTCCATACCTACACTAAGTCAGCAGTTGGAGGTATAATAAATGGCAAATAACTGTAAATCACTTTCTGTTGAGGACAGGGTATAAAACCACTTGAATTCATTCTCTTCCTAAAACACTTGGGGCGGGGGGGACCTAGAGAGCACCTTAACTGATTCTTGAAGCATAGCATTATAGTCTCTAACTTTTTGTCATCTTCTAGGAAGTCCGAATGACTATGCAGCGCTTGAAGAAAGAATCTGTGACCTTGTGCCTTGGTAAAGAATTCTGTTGTGCATAGATTTTGTGGTGTCTTTCAAAGGTACTGCACGGCCTGGCAAAAGGATTCTGATTGATTGCTTTCCTAATTCACAATTTACTCGACCACTATGGGACTCTATATGCCAGATTGATGTATCAGACTAAAATCTCTGCAAGGGTTTATTGCATCCCTCTGCCTTCCATAAATTATCTTATGCACAGGATTATTGCAGTGATTTTTGTGTAAGGAACCATTACCTCTAACAAAGTTAGTTCTATTAAACTACCAATTTTGGTGGTGCATTATAGAGCTTTCTGCCTATATTGGTTAGGAGTGGCTAGAGGTAGTGTTTCATAAACTTGGCAAAAGCTTCCTCTGTTCCAGAATAGATGCGAGTATTGTTATGATGATTGGCAAAATGTTCAACTGCTCTGATAAGAGTGAGTGAAAACAGCCTTTCTGAACACACAAGTTGTAGAGCCCAGCTATTTGTTTGTCTGCACTAAGCAGAGGAGAGGGTAAATCATTCAATAGTAAAATCATCGTTGCTTAGTATTAGCTTAACCAAAGGGAAAATATGCTAGACTCAGAAGTGGGCCTGGAAGGGGCCTCATGAAGTCACTTCTACAACCCCCTGTTCACAGCCAGACCATCCTTTTCTAAACCAATCTAGATTTTTAATTTTTTTTTATTTATTTTTTTGTCTAACCTGAGACTCCCTGGACTTAAAAGCTTGTCAATCCTCCCAGTCTCAGGCTATGGGCTGAGAAGGGACAGGAGGATCTATGTGGTCAACCAAAGACTGCAGCACTGGTGTCGTCAGGAAGGCTTTGGCTTTCATGACCACAGCCCGCTCTTTGGCGAGAGAGGCAGTGAGCTGCTGGGAAGAGATGGCCTCCACCTCTCTCCCCTAGGGAGGAGGTTCTTCTCAGCCAGACTGGCTGACCTGCTCCACCGGGCTTTAAAGTAAGCCCGCTGGGGGATGGGGGGACTACCGCCACTGCTGGCCTGCTGAGCAATCCTTGCCAAGCCAGCGGA